ATAAAGAGTTGGACACAACTGAAAAGTGACTAAACAACAGAGCACCGAGAGGTTAATCTACCTACCCAGAGTTACACAGCCACTATGTGTCAGAGGCAAGACTGAAACCCAGTTCTTCTTGGCTTTGAAGTCAGCAGTACTGTCCACCAGGCCATGCTGCTGCTTCTCCCGGCATACAATATATGCTTAATGAATTTTTGTTGAATTGAATTGAACTTAATTGGCTTGCATGTGATCCTGTGAGTTTGATTCACTGACTCCAAAATAACCCTGAAAAATCCATATCCAGAAGGTTTTTGAGTATAATTTATTACTATTTTTAACAACTCGCTTGTCTTCTGCAGGCATGTACCAATTTACAATGTTAAAATCAGCATTATTTACTCATGTGCTCACCTGAAATAGTTCCTTCTCCTGAGTGGGCCAGTAGTTATTCACAGGGTCATTCTAAAAGAATTATAAGATCCATTATTTCAGGCAAGCCAAGCTTCTGGATTTCTGCCAGATGTTGCAGGCTATCAAAAAAAGGATAATGGGATAAAGGTGTTTGCCTAGAGAATAGTAACAGCTAACATGCGTAAAGTGCCTTGAGATTTAAAAAGTATCTGCATATATTATCTCATTTGATCCTCACATTAGCCCTGTGAGGGTAGGTGCTGTTATTATTCCCATTTTGCAGGTAAAGAAACTATCAGAGGAAGGAAGTGACTTACTCAGGCTCATACAGCTAGTGAGGAACTGATTGAGGATTTTTATTCATCGAATCCTGATTTAAGTCCAGTGTTGTATCCATTTCTGCCCCTTTGCTGAGCAAATAAGAAGTTCTAATGCTGGTTTTTCTGTGAATAACTCCATATTATTCACACTTACATATAAACAGCTCTTCGGATCATAAAATCACAGATGTAGAGCTAGAAGGAACCTTAGAAGTCCAACCATGTCATTCTATAGATGAGGAAACTGAGGCCAAGTTGGTTAAATGACATAACCCAAGGTCATCTGGCTAGTAAGTGGCAGAACTGAGATTCAAACCTAGGTCCTCTGACCCCCAATCCAATGTCCTTTCTACTGCATCATACTGCCTTCCCTAGTACAAGAAATGTGGTGAAAGTGTGATAAGAAAAC